TGCGCAGTGGCAGCTACAAATGCTGGTGAGTGAGTGTGGCTAAGTGCCAGTAAAACTTTATTTACAAAGACAAATCGTGAGCCAGAGGGGCTGGGGATTTAGCTCAGCGGCAAAGGGCCTGCCTGGCAAGCGCAAGGTCGTGAGTTCGGTTCCCGGTACCGGAGAAAAACCAAAAATCGTGAGCCAGAGCTGGCCCAAAGGCCCAGGATCCAATAATTCTTTAGGGAAATGATGGTCCAATCCAGGGCTTCAAGTTGGATATGACATAAAACACTTTTAGGACAACAAAAGAGGGAAGTAAACTGTGCTGAGAAAAAAACGAACGGTAGAAATAGAATTAAGAATGGGCTGATAAGAGTTAATGAAAATATGAACCAAAGTAGAGGAAGCGGGTCAAATTTGAGAAAATGTAAAGTGGAGCCAGCAAAAATTAGGACCCCAGATGGATATGGAAGTGGTGTATTAGGGGTAAACCAGAAGTACAATTCTCTCAAGATTGGGTAGATGGTTGGTGATATCATTAACCAATCTACAGGAAAAAGGAATAGACTTAGTAGAGAAAAGGTAATGTTACAGTTAGACTGCAGGACCAAGTTATGGCGTTTCTTTGCACAGGAGGGTGACTGCAGTTAACTTTTTCTTTTTTGTCTTTTTGAGACAGGGTCTCACGATGCAGTTCAGGCTGGTCTTGGACTCACTTTGTAGCCCAGGCTGGTATTGAACTCGCAACGATCCTCCTGCCTCAGCCTCCCGAGTGCTGGGATTATAGTCATGTGCCACCACCGGCACTGCAGTTAACTTTAATATACATTTCAAAATAGATAGAAGAGTGAATGTTCAATGTTCTCCCCACAAATATGTGAGAAATGTTTAAGGTGATGGATATGCTCATTATTCAGCTTAATCATTTTATATATATATACACATATATATACATACACACACACACACACATATATATAGACACACACACACACACACACACATATATATATATATCTGGGCTGACATGTAACTCCATGGTGGAGTACCTCCTGGATATGCGTAAGGCCCTGGGTTCCATCCCCAGCCCTGAAAAAGAAAAATTATGTTGTACCCCATGAATACATGTAATTATCAAGCTCTTCAAAAATAAAATAAAAATTTAAAAATAAAAGAACATGAAGTTAAGCGTGTATTTGTTAATAAGATGTACTGGTCAGACACTGGAGTTGAGACATACGATACACAACTGTTAATCTGAGTTTTGAGCCCAGGACTGACTGGAGCGAGAGAGTGACATCACATGAGGAGGAAGTCCGGGACACAGGGATCCATGTGATCGTACTAATAAAGTTTGAGTGAAATGGGTTGAAGCTGGAGCTCCATGGAGGACCAACATTTCAAGACCGGAAGAGGGAGGTTTACAAGAAGATTCAGAGATAAGCAGTGTTAGGAGAATTCTTGGTCTTGTGAGTGCTCTGGAAAGCCAAGGAAAGTGGTCAGTAGGCTGGCCAAATTCTCTCTAAAGGTCAGGGAGAGATGCCGAACTTGGTGATTGAGTTTGTATTAGTTTTCTGGAGAAACCGACCCAGCAGGATGTATAGCTAGAGAAGAAGAGTCTTGGTGTAGAGAATGCTTGCAGGTCATGGAGCATTTCAAATCCGAAACTTCCAGGGAGGGTCAGTAGGGCGGAGAGCGCTAGGACAGCCATTATTGCAGCTCTGTTGTGAAGACAGCGGTAGAATTGCCTCTGTCGGGACTTCAGTCTTTGTTCTACTCAGGCCTTCAGCTAACAGGACAAGGCCCACTCACTGTCTGGAGAGCAATGTGCTCTATTCAAATGTGAATCCCTCCCAAGGACTCACGCTGGACACCTTACACTCACACTCGCGCACATCGAGATAATGTTGGAGCACAAATTGGGAGACTGAGATTCAACCGAGTGGACGTGAAATTAGCCATCACCAAGGTGGAAAAGGAAGTTATCAAATGCAAAAAATGAGTCTTCCTCTAAGTAAAGAATTGGCAGGAAGTTGCAAAATAAATTACTTTGAACTATTTTTGTTTATTCAGGTCCGGTGTTGTGGCTTCCACCGGGTAAAGGATATTTGTGAGATCTAAGACATTAGAACTTACACAGCTCATCAGGCTTAAACTTGTCTCCCGGGCTGGAGCTGGAGCTCAGCGGTAGAGCCCTTGCCTAGAGTTTGTGAAGTCCTGGGTTCAAACCCCAGCAAAACAGCAATCAAAACCTCTCTATGGACTGCCTGCCCTAGGTATTTTATATAAACAGAACTGCAGCATATGTGGCCTTTTGTGTCTGGCTTCTTTCCCTGACCATGATGTTTTCAAGGTTCATCCATGTTATAACATGTTTTAAGACCTTATTCCTTTTTGTTGCCAAATAATATGCCATTGTAGGGGTGTACCATATTTTGTTTACCTATTTTGTTTTTGTCATTTGCCTATTGTAAATAAAACCGCCATGAACATACTTGTTCAAATTTTGCTTTAACATTTGCTGTTAGGGGGCTGGGGATTTAGCTCAGTGGCACAGTGCCTGCCTGGCAAGCACAAGGTCATGAGTTCAATTCCTGATACTGGAAGAAAAACAAAAACAAAAACACTTGCTGTCAATCCTTTTGGGCAGATATCGAGGAGTGGAATTAAATGGTAATTGTGGAGTTAAATGGTAATGTGCTTCATTTCTGATTACTGGAAAATTTTAAACCAACTTCCCCAATAGATAGAAGGCTGTTTCAGACATTTACTTCCTCTTGAATAAATGGGTATTTCATATCTTTCAATAACTGTCAGATTCATCTAAGTTGCCAAATACATTTCTGAAAAGTTGTTTGTAATATTCCTCATCCTTTATATCTGTGTAGAAGCTGAAATAATATTACCTCTAGTTCCTTATATTCTTATATCCTCTCCCTTTGTCTGCCTCAGTATAGCTAGAGTTTTATCAATTTTACTGATTTTCTCAAAGAATCAGCTGGAGGTTTTGTTAGTTGTTTTCTATTGCTTTCTTGTTTAATATTTCATTGATTTTTACTCTTTTATCTTGATTCTATTCTCCTTCCTTTTGGTTTAATTTGATCTTATGTTTCTAAATCTTTCTAATTATATGTGAGTTATATATTATATGCAATATATATTATATGAGTTTATTGCTATGAATTTCCTTCCAATCACTGGCTTAGTTGTATTTAATAAATGTTGATGTTGAGTTGTTTTTTTTTTCTAAGTTCAAAATACTTAGTCATTTCCTTTGTAGTTTCTTCCCCTTTTTAGTTTTCTTCTCATTTCATTTAGATTCTTTTGGTCGCTTTTTACTACACACTTTGTGGTTTTTTATTGTTTATTAATACACACTTGCAGTTCACAATGTCTACCTTCCTCGTGGGGAATTGGTGTATGTACACAACACATCTGAATTGCTTTTTTCATCTGGAACATTCATCTTACATCTTACTCCCTGCATTTCTCCTTCCCCTTCCTTCTCTCCCATCTCCCCCCATCCCTAGATTCCCGCCCCATCTCCACAAAGTCTACCTCCATGTTTTCTATCATCTGCCTTTCATTTTGCTCCTTAAATTACTGGTTATGGGTTATGGAAGACCAACTTGATATTAGACCTTGTGTTTTTTTGCTTAGCCGTATGGTCTCAAGGCGCACCCATTTTCCTACAAATGACTCGGATGTGTCTTTCTTCATGTTTCCCTTTCTGGGTGTGAGGGTTAGTTTGATGTGTCTGAGGACTGCTGCAAAAGTATTGCTGGAAAACCTCTTTTGAACATTTTTAAATCTACCATCAGTTGGTTTCTGTACGCAGACAACCTCCCAGAAAGCAGGTGACACTCATCCAATCATTCAAGGTGTCAGGAGTAAAATGGAATGAAGATTTCCCTTGGAAGAGGGAATTTTGCCTCAAGACAGTTGCATCAACCCCTCTTAGATCTGCATCTTGCGAGTCTGACCTATAGTTCTTAATTTTGCCATCCCCTACTGATTCAGACTGCACCAATTGCATAAAATAATCTTTGTAATATATCTGCATTGTCTGTTCTGATGATTTGACCTGGTTGGACAATACTTGGGGCTCACTGAGATTTTAAAAAATTCAAATTGAGAAAATCTTCCGTCATAGTTTCTCCAAATACATTTTTTCTGTTTTCTCCCATCCTGTTTTTCTAATGACAGGTATCAAGCTGTTTATGTTGTCTACAAACCACTGACGTTATTTAACTTTTAAGCATCTTTCTTTGGCATGCCTCTTTTTCCCTAGTTCTATCGGTATGTCTTTAAGTCCCATAATATTTTCTTCTTCAGGGTCTAATCTACTCTTAATCCCATCCAATGACTTTTTCATCTTAGTGATTGCATATATATATTTTTTAGCTCTAGAATTTAATGTGGTTCCTTTTTTCTTCCACTTTTCTCTTCTCATGGTCGTCATGGATCCCAGTACTTTATTTAACATATATGCTGAGCATTCAAGCAGGAAAGGTCTTAGCACTGAGATAGCTCTGGTGCCTGGTGGCTGTGGCTTTGTGGATTCATTTGTCCTGAAGACAGATGATACAGCAACGTTTTGAGGGTGATACATTTACTCGGGACTGATCTAGGGTACATTGACCTGGGAAGGGGAAATGAGACAGAGATGGAAAAACAGCCAGTAGATAGGTTTGTTTTCAAAGAAATTTGCAGTCTGGGCACCAGGAGTTTAATCCCATCAAAGACCTGCAGGAGACGCCTTGTAGCATGGACCTGAAAGTCCATGCAAAACGGCAAGGAGCGCCTTACTGTGTATCTGATGTCTGCTCCAGCGACGTTTATTCCTTAACATTTCTGCCCTGCTCTACGAATAGGACAAGCAAGTTTCAGTAGCTGGCGGAAGCTCCCAGAAAATGCATTGTTCTTAGTAAACTGTTACTGGTACCCAACATCCGGGGAACGGTAAGTACGGAGGTCCGTCCTGGGTCTGCTCCACTCTCCCTCGTTTCTGCTTCCAGATCCTGTGCTCCGTCACTGCAGGGCTGCTGCACTACCTCTACCTGGCCGCCTTCACCTGGATGCTCCTGGAGGGGCTGCACCTCTTCCTCACTGTCCGGAACCTCAAGGTGGCCAACTACACCAGCGCAAGCAGACTCCAGAAGCGGTTCATGTACCCTCTGGGCTACGGCATCCCAGCTGCGATTGTCACTGTGTGCGCGATAGTCGGACACAAAAATTATGGAACAAGTACTCAGTAAGCAGAATGTGTCTTTATGGAGGAAACTGCACCTGTAGCCCAGGCATGCTTTGAGATCAAAATGTTCATTTTAAAATTCATTTTCTAATTGTGTTTTTTGTTGTTGTTGTTGTTTTCGGTTTTTTTGTTGTTGTTGTTGTTGTTTTGGTTTTTCTCCGGTACCGGGAACCAAACTCACGACCTTGAGCTTGCCAGGCAGGCGCTTTGCCGTTGAGCTAAATCCCCAGCCCCTTCTAACTGTGAATTAGCCTTGAAGCCAGTCCTTCTTTAAGCCAGAACACTATTTCCTTCTGGAGAGCGCTAAGTTGATGATGGCTATCTGCTTTTAGGGAGTTAATTTTGGTGAAAAATCAGAGCTTTTTTCCCTAAACAAATACACATATACCAAACATTTCAAATCAAACTTTGGGAAATTCAGGGGCAGGTGGAGTAAATCCATGGTCCCATATTAAGAAGTTGTGGGATGCGTGTTCTGTAGGATTCCGAAGGAGTGGGTAGAATGTGCCGATGTGTGCATCCCCAAAGCATAAAGAATAACAGTAAGAGCTGTCAGAGCCGGGCATGGTGGCACACGCCTGTAATCCCAGCACTCGGGAGGCTGAGGCAGGAGGATCGTTGTGAGTTCGAGACCAGCCTGGTCTACAAAGTGAGCTCAAGTCCAGCTTGAACTGTATAGCGAGACCCTGTCTCAAAAAAATACAAAAAAAAAAAAAAAAAAAAAAGAGCTGTCAGAACCCTGCCACGCATCAGAAGTAATGCACCAGGTATGGAGTGACTCCCGCCATCTTTGCCATGACCCTGTCGGTCAGCGGTTCGTTAGAGCAGGCACAGGACACATGGGGCTTAGTGCGCGCCACACACAGTACTCTTCAAGGTCAGAGTTAAAAAGAGAGGAAGTAAAAATTCTAAAGGCAGTCCTTTTTTGTCTCTTTATTAGTACCTGTTCGCAGTATCTGTAGTGGGGGAGCGCGTTAGGCTGGGACTCTTCGCAGCTAGGTTGAACTGCCTCACTAGAGAAATTTGCAAAGCTCTGCCCTCAACAGTAGGAAGTTAACAGTTCGGTAGCGGTGCTTGGGTTAGAAAGTTGGTTGCACATGTGCTAAAATATCACCTATAATCTTGCCCCTCTTCAAGTCAAACAGACAGCCAATCTCTGGCATGGACTCTGTGAGCCGCCAGAATGATTCTGGAGATTGAACGAGAGGGAAAGTGAAGAGTTGGAACTCTATAAAGGGGCCGATCGTAACTATTTGGGGGCTGTGCGGACCACGTGGCCTCCACGTCACCTTTATAGTGGGAAAGAAATGACTGACAATGTGTGCAGCTGTGTTTCAATAAAACTTTATTTTTGCAAACAACTGGTGAATGGCATCTGGGATCATGGCCCATAGCTTGCAAGCCTTGAAGTAGAACATGAGTGTGGAATCTTTTCAGCCCCCTGAGTGTTAGCCATAGCTTGCATTTTTGTTTTTCAAATTCCTATTGCCAGGTTTGTTGCCTTTTAGAATAAGCTGTACTGCCTGTGATAATGTCAGGTGACAGAATTCAAAGGGTCGGAGTGACAGGATACAGTGTCCATAACTAATACTAATTAGCATTTTGTGCCTGTTGTTAAATTATCGTTTTTACATTCTTTCTCATTATAGCAATCATTCTCACCATGCTGACTACATTTATTGACGTTTAATTCTTTCACAAGAACTGTCCCCAATGGCCTAATGTATATGACCTCATTTAATCTTTGCTCAGAGTTGCAGATGAGGAAAACCACACAAGTCTAATGAAGAAGTCAGTGAAGACAGGAATAAATGGAGAGATACTGTGTATTCACAGATAAGAAGATCCAGTAATGTCAAGATGTCAGTTCGTCCCAACTCGATCTATACATGTGACATATTCCCAGTCCAAATCCCAGAAAATTATTTTGTAGCTATTGATGAAAGGATTCTATAGAGGAAACAAAAAGAATTTGAGACGACAATACATATTGAGGAAGAAAAAAATTCAAAAGATTGACATGACAGAGCCTGACTTCAAGATTTAGTGGATAGCTACAGTAACCACTTAATCTTTCGAATGCCTCACCTTCCACTTCAGGAAACTGGGGCAGAGAACATACTGCTTGGCCGGGGATATAGCTCAGCGGCATAAGCACCTACCCGGCAAGCACAAGGTCCTGAGTTTGATTCCCGGTACCAAAAAAAAAAAATGTAGTGCTTATGTCAGAGGAGGAGTCTATCGAAAGTCCAAATTCTGAACTAATGGCTCTTGGCACTGTTCAGATCTTGCCCTGGAACCCTTTCGCCATACCCTCTTCCTTCTCTGGAGCAAGAGGCAGCTAATGGTTATCTTCCTCTCCACAGCTGCTGGCTCAGAGTCGATAAAGGATTCCTCTGGGGCTTCCTGGGCCCGGTGGCAGTCATCATCTCGGTAGGTGACAGTTATTCATGTGTGTGGAGAGTATACCTTTCATCTGCTAAAGCGGAAATGAGATGAAGACAAGGAAATCAAGGTCACCAACAGATCTTCCAGAAAATGTTATTTTCGCTTCCACTTCCATGGCTTCCCCTAGCTCACTAATTGTTGAACTATAATATAAACCTCCGCTGAGAATTCTTTTAAAGTCCTACATTCATTCAGTCAGTCACTTAATAAACATTTAATGAGAGTTTACTCCGCACAGGGTGATGTTTCCCTGTTTTCCAAGAACTTCCTGATTACACCTGTTGCCTGGTATTGTGAAGAGCAGCTTCTCACTTTCCAAGTGTTCTGGCTGAATGATGTCATTCTTTTATTTTCTTAGTACCTACTTGCAGCACATAACGGTTGCGCTCGTCATGAGCAGTGGGTGCATGTCCATAACACGTCTTAATTCTTTTTTTATCCCCTGCCACTCCATGTCTTGTTCCCTTTATCTGTGGCAAAAGATCTGTCTTCCTGTTTCCATTCTTTTATTTTGCTATAATTTTTTTACATTTTGGGTTTCTAATATAAGAGAAACCACACAGTATTTAAGCGTGTGTGTCTGATTTATTTCATTTACATTACGACCTCAGGGTGGAAGCCACCTAATCACGTGCCCATTGCTGGAAGGTCTGGTACAAAACACATAATAGACCAGGCACGTCCCTGGTACCCTTATGAAGCCTGTGTCTTTGGGGACAAGATCTTGAGATCTAATTGGTTAGGTTGTTTGAAAGGACCTCAAAATTTTTTTTCTAAGTCATCTTTCCTGCTGTTTCCACAGATAAACTTTGTGTTCTATTTCCAAGTTCTGTGGATTCTGAGAAGCAAACTTTCCTCCCTCAATAAAGAAGTCTCTACCATTCAGGACACCAGGTAGGAAGGTACCAGAATCGGTGATAACTCAAGGTTTTGTGCTATGGGACCATTCTTCTTGGAAAAGAAATCTTCTAGACAAAAATACAGTCAAGGACTGTGACATAGCTCAGTGGTAGAGTGCTTGCCCCGCATGTGTGAGGCCCTGGGTTCAGCCCTCATCACCACAGGGAAAAGCAAGTTATAAATTCTCCTGATACTAAAGAGCATTTGCGGGACAACTTACAGAAGAAACCCAACTGTGAATGTCAGGTAACTTGATGCTCTCCCTATTTCTTTATTTAAGAAAAATTTATTGAATACCTGCTTTGTATACCACTCTCTTTATAAGAAATTACTATCAGAAGTGTCAACACTGACCCCTCTTCTTTGAGAGTTATGCACTTCTGGACTCTATTCTTGATGTTAGAAACTTGATTCTCATTGGTGTCACTTTAAAATGTTTAAAATAACAATGGTGAATCTAATGCTAATTACAAAACTGATATATGATGCACCCTGACAAATATTACTGTATGAAATACTTAGAGATCCCCCCCATGTAGTGTAGGTGCTATCTCTATTGAAAATATGAATCAAGTTAACTCTTAGCTCATCTTAGCCAAGATTGGATGAGTACCTTGTATTGGTTAGCTGTGTGGATATACATGAAAGGAATATCAGCCTGTCTCCTGACCCTGACTTTGGGTCAGACTTTCATTTAGTTATCAGACCAGTAGTACATCACTTGTCCTCAGCTTCCGTCCTCTGGGAGATTCAGAGTTGCCCCATCCCCTGCACATGAGTGTGGAAGTGAAGGCTCACAAACACACACCCATGCGCACGCTCGCAGGCACCTCCTCCCCAGATAACGACCACCCACCACCCTGCTCCATTACAGCAAACACGAGTTTTGTTCAAAGAAACCCAGTGCTGTTGTGCTCTGAAGTCATGAAATCACCACCATCCAAATTATTCAACATGAATATCCAGAAAGGCATTTTCTACACATGTTCCAATAAGTCCAGGTAGAAGACATGGCGGACAAATCATTTCTAAGGCAGATAAATCATTGGCAGATTTATCTGGCCAATAAATCATTTCTAAATGACAAATCGTTTTATCATGCTGAGAACAATAAAAAAAACATGCTCAGCAGCGGTGATGGAAAGTCCTGCTTCACCTTCAGCTGTGGTCCCTGGTACCCTTATGAAGCCTGTGTCTTTGGGGACAAGATCTTGAGATCTAACTGGTTAGGTTGTTTGAAAGGACCTCAAAATTTTTTTTCTAAGTCATCTTTCCTGCTGTTTCCACAGATAAACTTTGTGTTCTATTTCCAAGTTCTGTGGATTCTGAGAAGCAAACTTTCCTCCCTCAATAAAGAAGTCTAAATGACTTCTTGTGTAGGTCACCGCCTGCATAAGGTTGTTGTGGTGGTTAAATACGGTAACACAGAAAAAGCATTTAGCTAGCACTAGTCCTAGCTAAATACCTAGAGAAAACCTGATAAACAATAGTTGGTATCGCTATCTTTTCCCCCAGAGTCATGACATTCAAAGCCATTGCTCAGTTCTTCCTCCTGGGCTGTTCTTGGGGGCTTGGATTTTTCCTGGTTGAAGGAGTAGGGGAGACAGTTGGATCCGTCATCGCCTACTTATTCACCATCATCAATGTCCTGCAGGGGGTTCTGCTCTTTGTGGTGCACTGTCTTCTGAATCACCAGGTAAGACCAATTATTTCCTCTCTCGTCCACCTACCCCAGCCTCTCCTTGGCCTTTTATATTCATAGCTGGGGTTGTCTTCCATTCCAGAAGAGTGTTCAGGTATTGCTAGGTCATGCTACATCACCTGCCCAGAGTTTTAACATATCTCCTAAGAGCTCGTATCAAGATGGGCATGGTGGTGCACATCTGTAATCCCAGGACTCCGGGAGCCCGAGGCAGGAGGACCGCAAACTCAAGCCCAGCCTGGACAATTTAGGGACTTCGGAAGATCCTGCATCATAAAGGGGGTGGGGGTGGGGGTGGGGCTCAGTGTAATGCTCCCGTAAATACCCAGGACTTTTTAAACAGAGCGTGTATTGAAATACAAGGCAGGTATGGTGCATTAATAGTCCATTCCTCCTGGCCCTCCAATCTCAGTGGCTTACAGTAAAGGGTTTTTTTTTAAAGCTCATACTACTAACTGTGCTTTGATCAACACTGTCTTCACTCAGGGATTCAGGCTGAAGGTGTGGCCTCCCATCTCGAAATTCTACTTGACCTAGCTATTCCCCACCTAAGTATCTTCTCAAAAGTGAAAGACATCATATTACAGTGATATTTCCACAGCCATTTTTATAACAGCACAGTTCGTAGTAGCTAAACTTTGGAAGCAGCCTGTTGTCCATTAACAGATGAATGAATAAGGGAAGTGTGGTATTTACACACAATGGAGTACTACTGTGTCATAAAGAAGGATAAACTTGAATTATTTGTAGGAAAATGGAGGCACCTTGAGATCATAATGTTAGGTGACATAAATCAGACACACAAGCTTAAATAGTGCCTCAGTTCTCTTATATAAGAAACCCAAAATATAAACAAAACATAGATAACAGGAAACAGGCAGATGGATCTTTTGCAAAAGGAAGTGAACCAGAGAATGGAGGAAGGGGATGAAAAAAGAATTGAGCTGTGTTAATGTGCGTGGGCCAGCTCCCCATGAGGAATGTAATATTCTGTACTGCACACATGTACTAATAAAAATTAAAACTGCAAAAACAAAAGTAAATTGTTGGTGATCTCATTGGTAAAGAGAAAGGAGATCGTTATAAAATACAGCACACAGCTTTCTTAATGCTTCTGCTTAGCAACAACACATCTTCGTTTGACTCTGTTTTCTTGTTAAAGCAAATCACACGCTCAGACTTGAGTTCACACTGGGTACTCCTCGAGGAAGAAGTGACGTACAACTTACATGTCTTGGTGAAGTCGTATTGATCATTATACCTCTAAATGTCATTCTTAACATGTCAAAAGGGAAATGCAAGTCAGTTCATGAAATATCCAGGGGCACTTTAGTGTAATGGCAGTACTAGGGCTCTTCAGAAGAACGGCAGGGTTTTGAGTGTTTCTCTATAAACTTGGACAAATCAGTTTATTTCCAGAGCCTCAATATCTACATTTCTAATTGGAGGTAAAGAGAGTACTTGCATCACCGAGTTGATGGAAGAATTAAATGCCATGTTTCACGTAAAATGTGCCATATACAGTGGCCTCCATCACCACCGCCATCTTCATAGCCATCATACCTTCACCGCCCTTACCATCATCACCATAGACCAAGTTCTCACCGCGCTTGACATGGGCACCTTTTTTTTTTTTTTTACAATGGAGGTGGTTGGTGTCAATAAAAAGAATCAACATGAGTATGGCCAATGTTATGCAGAAAATCCGAGAAAGAGCGGTAAAGGGTAGGGCTTGGATCGCTGTCTTGAGTCCTCCATGCTGGGGTCCTGTCTTGGCATCCAAGCTCTGGAGGTAACGCGGGTTTCTCTATTTCTCAAACTTTCAGGTGCGAATGGAATACAAGAAGTGGTTTGGTGGGGTGTGGAAAGGTGTCGGCACCGACAGTGCCGATATGTCTCGCTCTACTACCCACACCAAGATGGTAAGATGCGCTCTTCTGGACGACCTTTTCTAAGCCCCAAATCTCATGCTACCAGCTGCTTCCCGGTTCCTTGGTCTAAAAGGAAAGGTCTGGGCACCGCGCTGGGTCTGATTATGAGACCACGCCCAGGAGAGCCTCAGTCCCCCTCAGTGTCTCTCCCTCCCCCTCCCCCGTCTCCTCTCCCTCATTTTCTTCCTTTCTCTTCTTTCATTTCTTTCCTTTTTTCTTTTTCCTTCTTTCTCTGCCTCTTTCTTTTCCTTCACCACCTTTCTCACGGTCTTCCCTCTCTTTTTTTTCTTTCCCCTTCTCCCTTTACCTTCTTGCTCCTCTCTCTCCCTTCCTTTTTCCCTCCCCTCCCTCCCTTTCTCCTCACTTATTTTCTTCCCTCCACATTTCCTCTTTCATTTTTTTCTTCTCATTCAGTTTTTCTCACCTCTACTTTCCTCCTTTTCTTCCCTGCTCCCTTCTTGCTCTCTTCCTTCCTTCCTTCCTTCCACAAACATGCAACAGATATTTAACAAAAGTGTTCCTTTCACAACATTCACTTAAATATTCACTGCGCACCACCTGCCTGCCCTGCTGGGTGCTGGACTAGCTGTGGCGGGCGCACTGTCAAAGGTCCTCACCTCCCGGAGCCAACGTTCTAGTTGGAGGGAGTGTTAGATAGTAACCCTCAACAGAGGACGAGACAGTATGCGGCAAACATTCACACTGCAGAAAGTAAAAGGAGAGCAGTGTGGAGCGCACAAGAGGGACAGAGCAGAGCTGCAGTGTCCAATAAAGCACCAGCCTGAAACTCTGAGAGAAGCTGCCACTTGTTTGGAGACTTGAAGGCTCCCAGTGATCAAAGGGGCCCTGGCTAGGAAGCCAACCAGAGGCAGAAGGCCTGAAGCGGACTCCAGGCACCCTGGTGGGAGGCCGTTTACCTCTGAGTGCTTCAACCCTTGCGGCGGGGCTTGTCCTCTCTGGGCCGGGATGCTCTACCCATGGGGCTGCTGCTAGCGACAAGAGCTTCATTTTGGGCATGAGGCTCCTAAGCCAGGGTTTCTGCCAGACCCCTTAGCTCGGGCGGCCTTTTCTCCTCACACCTGTTCTGTCCCTCGGGGCCTTCCTTGGGTTGAGGTTGCTGCTGTTAGAAGGGAAGGCAGAGATTGCAGCCTGTGTGATTTACTGAGAAACGGAAGAAAAAGAGGGGGAGAGGCAGCTAAGGAAGGGTCCGGCTCGACAGTCCTTGGATCCCGTAGAAAGCTCCGAAGTGTGAATGCCACCGTCACACTGTGCCGTCTTCAGGTGGGCGAGTGGTCTTCCGGGCCCTGGGTCATTCACAATAGGCTGTAGGGTCTCTCCCACAGCACAGGCTTAACCTTCAGGAGACGCAGCTCCTCTGAGACAGGGCGGCCCCCGGAGGAAGCCATACACCATGACTAACACAGCCGCTGTGCCAGAGCCGCTTGCCTGACAAAGAGCATCTGTGTGAAAAAAATTAAATTAAATTAAAAATAAAAATAAATGTTAAAAAGAAAAGAGCACCTATGTGGGGCACCAACATTCATTGCAAGAGCCAGAGAGAGCAGCCCCTGGAATTCCGTGTGAGGGCACCCCTGGAAGGCTGTGTGGAGACACGCATTAATGAGAACATGTGTGATATTTCCATACGTGCGTACACCGTGTACTGATCAAAACCACACCTCCTTAGTCCACCATGGGTGACCCTTCACAACCACTAAAAAACGTGGTTCTACGTTCAGAGGACCTCTGGGGGGTCACAGATGAGAACGAACAGGCGATACACATCTTCTCCGTCTCACTCAACAACGTTCATCCGCTTTGCTACAAAAGACAGGAGATTTTAATTCTTTAGGACTGAACAGTGCTCTATTTTGTATACAGACATTTTCTTTGTCGGTTCATCTGCCCCTGGGCGTGGAGGCTGACTCTGTACCCCAGCCACAGTAAATAGTGCTGCAGTAAATACGGACATGCAGCTAGCTCACAGTAAATACTTGTGAAAAGCTAAAATAAAACAATTTTTCAAGATGATGTTTGGGGTGTAAGTGATACCAGAAGCTTCAGACACTAAGGTGTCTTCCTGAGGTTTCTTAGGAAGGCTGGAAGTCTTGGCTAATTTCCGAAGTGCTAATTTCCTGTTCTCCTTGTCTCCCTCTCGCCCATGTAGTAGGCAGCAAGGAGATCATCAGAATGTGCTCACGGAAGAGCCCTTACGTCACCCAGCTCCTGACCCGCCTCCGCGCCTCAGCCAAGGACGAGGACTGAAAGCTGACCTGGGCCTCAGCGCTGCCCCCCTGTGGTCATGTACGGAGTGGACCGTCACTCTTGGGTCTTTCCTGTGAACCATAAAGACCTGTCCACTTCGGCTATTTTAAAAATAACTTCATTATTATTATTAACACACATTAATTGTAAAAATTACTGAGCTTTACTGTGACATTTCCATACATCTATGTATCGTGCTTCGACCCTTTTAACCACCCCTTCTACGCGCTCCTGTCTTCCCTTCCCTTCTCCTTTCCCAAGGACGTCTTCCCGCTTCCTAACTGTCCCTCTTCCATTTTCAGATCATATTTATTTTCCTGTCTCCACACAGGAGCAAGGTCATGTGATGCTTGCCGTTGTATATCGGGCTTATTTTGCTTACTATAACGTCCTTCAGTTCTATCAATGTTCCTGCAAATGACATGATTTATTCCTTTATGAGTGATATTTGCTTTGTCCATTTATCCGTTGATGAGTACCTAGGCGGAATTCATATATTGATTATTGTGAATAGTGCTGCAATAAATGCGGATGTACAGGTACTTTTATTGTGTGCTGGATTCACTTTAATTGCATGAATGTCAGGAATGGTACACCTGCCTAATACACTACTTCTATGCTTAGCTTTTTCTTTAGTAGCCTTCATAATGTTTTCCAGGGACGAGCATGTAGCTCAGCAGCATAAGCGCTTGCTTGGCAAGCCTGAGGTCATGAGTTCAATTCCTGCTACCAAAAAAAAAAATCCTCTCATAATGTTTTCCATAGGGGGATACTAATTTACATTTTATATTTTTTAATTTTTCTTTTTACTAGTACATGTTTGCAGTACATAATGATTATACTCCTTGTGGGGAGCTGGCGCGTGTACATGGCACATCTTGATTACTCTTTCATCCCCTTCCCCTCCCTCCACCCCTCTCTCCATCTCTTGGTCCCAGTCCCTTTTGCAGAATATCTGCCCCCTCTTTCCTATTATCTTTCATTTTACTCTATAACTTACTGATATTCTGGGTTTCTCATATGTGAAAACCCATGTGATATTTAAACTTATGCATCAAATATATACCAGATATCAGCCCCCTGTCCAAAGAATAGGTGACAAAACATTTTGCCCATTCTGTAGGTTGCATCTTCCCTCCGTTGCTGAGGCCTCTGCTGTACAGAACCTCTTTAATTTGATCCCCAGTCACTGATTCTTGATCTCCCCCAGGTGAGCAAGAAGACTCACACCATAAAGGATAAATCTGAGTCCTCTGTAGGAAAATGGATGCGCTTTGAGACCATAATGCTAAGTGAAATAAATCAGACACACGAGGTTCAATTTATCACATAGCTTCTCTTATATGAGAACCCAAAATATAAAGAGCAAAACAAAAGGTAGGCAGTGGGAAGGTTGATCTTTCTTAAAGGAGAAGATAATTAAGAGACAGAGGGAGAGTGAGAGAAAGGAGGGAAAAGGGATGAAAAAGGAAGGAAGACATGCTCCAAACCTGTCCCACCTCCACACAAGGGATGTGAACATCATGTACTATAAACATGTACTAATAAAATGAGCCAGGCGTAATCCCAGCACCTGGGAGGCTGAGGCAGGAGGATCGTGGTGAGTTCGAGACCAGCCTGGGCTACAAAGTGAGCTCAAGGCCAGCCTGAACTGCATAGCGAGACACTGTCTCAAAAAAGGCAAAAACAGAAAAAAAGATCTGGGAAAAAAAATGCTGAAAAAAGTCTTTTTAAAATGATACAGGAAATCCAATCATCAGCATGTGGGAGAATGAATTTAGACACATTTCTCTCATCCTTTGCAGATATAAAATAAAAATGGATGAAAAACCTAGATATAGGGGCTGGGGATTTAGTTCAGCAGCACAGCGCCTGCCTGGCAAGCGCAAGGTCATGAGTTCGATTCCCGGTACCAGGAAAAAAAAAAAAAAAAGAAAAGAAAAACCTAGATATAAAAACAGAAACCCCGAATATATTGGAAGATAAAGTAGATAAAACAATTGAAGCCATAGGTATAGGCAAGGACTTTCTGAACAGAATACCAATTGCACAAGAAATAATTCCAAGAACCAACAAAAGAATTACATCAAATTAGAAATTCTGCACAGCCAAGAAAACAACCGAGTGAAGAGACAAACTACAGAATGAGAAAATTATTTTGCCAGCTACTCCTCAGAGGACTAATGTATGAAATATATAAAGAACTCAAAAAAATGAGACCTAATCGAAAATGAATAATAAAAATGCATAGACAGTTATCAAAAGAAGCAGCAGAGATGTCCAATAAGGACATGAAAACTGCTCCGCATCTTTGGCCACTAAAGAAATGCAAGTCAAAACCACACAGACATTCCAACTTCCTCCATTCACCGTGGGTACCCAGGGCTCAAAAGAACAACACTGGGAAGCACATGGGGAATCAGCCCTGCTACCTCGCTGGTAGGAATGTAAAGCATCGCAACCACTATGGAAAACAGCACTGAGTTTCCTCAGCAAACCAAACAGAGAAATGCCACTTGACCCCGGTGTACCCGTCCCATGTATATTACCGAAAGATTTAAAGTCACATTACAGTAATAGGCGCGTACCCATGTTTAAAGCAGCACAGCTCGCAATAGCTAAATCATGGAAACAGCCTCGATTCCCACCGATAAACAGGTAAAGAAAAACTTGCACATACACAGTGGACTATTATTCTGTCATAATTAAGGATAAGCTGGTGCCATTTGTAGGAAGATAGACCTGGAATTTATAGTATTAATTGAAATGAGCCAGTCACTGGAACTTAAATATCTCGATTTTTCTTATATGAGAAACCCAAAACAAACAACTTAGGAGCCACCTGCACCACGCGCTTTTGCCCCCCGGCACGTACGGAGGTAACTTACACATGAACGTTTCCTTGATCACTTCTGAAGCCCTTCCCTTCCACACTACGTTCTCCTGCCTTCTGCATGCCGCTTCGCCACCTCCAAAGTCTCCCGGTGTCCTATGATCTCTCTTTTATTTCATATTTTGCTTTTAAAAGTTGAGGATGTGGAAAGAGGGCCTAGACACCAAATGTGATTGTCTTTTCCTGGATCCTTTAGCATCTTGTACATCTTCTGGATGTGCCTGAATTGTTTTTAATTAATGTTTTCAATTGCAATTTTGACAAAACCATTTCCTTGATGTGCAGAAGACCTTTTATCTTAGATAAGGAGACCTACACATGTTCATTTTTTATTAGTACATGTTTGAGACACATAGTGCTTATATTCGGCTTGAGGGTCTGATACATATCGATAGTGCATCTTGATCGTTTTGTCTCTCCCTGGCGCTCCCAACCCTATACCCTCCCTTCCCCAGAGCCCCCCTTCTCTACAGACCACCTCCTGTCTCTCAGCTGGCACTTTACTCTTTGGTTATGTTAGCGAGACCAAGCAGTACTTAACCTTTTGAGTCTAACTTTATTTCACTTAGCATTACAGTCTCAAGATCTATCCATTCTCCTACAATAACTCAAATTTACTCTTCTGTATGACTGAGTAGCACTCCACTGTACGACTTTGTCATCCATTCATCTTCTGATGGGCCCTGAACCTACCGGAATTAAAATTCACTGAAAATGCTGTGGGCATAGGGAAAGACTTTCTATGTTTTCTTTCTGGAGGATGGGTTGGGCCCATTGGCAGGAATGAATGGGCCTAACATCAAAACGTTTGTTGTTGCACTACGGTTGTCTAGTTAAGAGTGAAATGGCTTTAACCCAATTCTGTGAAGTGTTTTAATTCTGTTTTTTCCTGCCAATGGACAGCCCCTACATTCCCATCACGCACAAATCAGCAGTGTCAGATCATTTACAAGGGATCAAGTGATTATATCCTTAACTATCGCCAGCTGAGTGGGGACGTCATTAGAAATCGCCCGAGCAGTGATGGTGCACCTTTTAGAGGCTGTGTGTCTAAACAGCAACCCCAAAACCCACTTATTTATTGCAAAGTGCCAACAGGGCCGTTAAACCTGAATACTGAGGTTTTAGTTCAGAAAAACAACTACTGTCTGATGCTCGGCTGGCGGTTCACAAGCCCACCAGCCTGACCCACGGGCTTGGCTCACGCGCCCGCTGAGGCACACGTACGTTTCTCACCACTGCCCCAGAGCTTGCTGATTATCAGGGGTGGGCCGCTAACTTTCTTCCACTCATAACTAAGATTGAAATCGGGTAACAAGCTCTAAACAGAGTTGTGCAACAGGTTCATCCGGTATTTGGGCAGGCAGCATTGAAAGCCGCTGGATTTGAGAACAAACTGGAAGATAGTTGCATTGGCACGAGCCAAAGACAAGGATAATGGACACACAGCACTGTTTCATAATAGAACAGGTGAGCATCACTCTAAGGGTAGAGAGGTCTAGAAGATAGCAACTCTAGCTGGGTGCGGTGGTGCACATCTATAACCCCAGCACTCAGGAGGCTGAGGGCAGGAGGATCACTGTAAGTTCAAGGTCAGCCTGGGCTACAAAGTGAGTTCAAGGCCAGCCTGCACTGCACTGTGAAACCCTGCCTCTCACACACACACACACACACACAGAAATAGCAACTTTATAAGCATACTAAAGAGACCAAAAAATAAAAGAATACTGGTGAATTTTCTTTATTAGCCCCTATTTGTCTTGAGGTGTTTACCAAAGTACAACTGATATAGTGAAAAAGTATATAGGTTTCTATTCTGTTAATTTAAAAATCTGATTTTTCAAATTTTACTCACAATAAAGGAATTTTTTTTTTTGGAACTGGGAGTCGAACTCTGGACCTCGTGCTTGCCAGGCAGATGCTGTGCCGCTGAGCTATATCCCCAGCCCAGTCAAGGAATGTTTTTAGAATCTGTTTTATGTAAACACTGGACTGAACTTGGTACTGGGTTTAGAACCTGGCCATTGGCCTCTAACTTGTAGACCTAAAGATTTTTGTAGTGACTCATTCTAGATAACACAAGGCCCGAAGCAGGTAACAATTTATACAAAAATAACATTTAGTAGCTAGAATATTTGTATTGACACTAAAATATGAATTATGTAAAGAGCAAAATAAGAGAAGTGGTAGGAAACAGGGAGGTACAGCCTGTGGAGATCGGAAAGGGATTTGGGGAAGGGAAAAAAAAAAGGATCAAGATGCAATGTGTGTATGTACCAAGTCCCCGAGATGAATGTAAGGATATGTACCACAAACACAGACTAATTTTAAAAATTTAAATAGAATATAATCAAAAGGACGGTCAATTCTTTTCACTTCATCTTGTGTCAAACCAGTTACAAGTTACTTCCTGTGGGTCACATGTTGTTTCCAGCTGGGCGAGACAATGACTGTACCCTGGAAAATAGTTCCTGGGGCGGGATTTTGTACATACCTAGGGCCAAGAGAAGCAAATGAATGCAGCCACAGGCCTTTGTCTCTCATGAAGCACGGCCCCATCTGGATTAGGCAGGACAAGTATACATTCATTCTCCCTCTTTCATGAGGGTGCTGGTCGGAACTCAGCAGCTTGCGCTCGATGCGGACAAAAAATTCCACTTCTGTCAAGTTCCTTCTGCAGTGCGTGTTTAGACCACTGCCCACACTTCCGGGCATCCGCACTGTGCCGTCTGTGGGCTGGCACGGTGCATTTGTCCTCAGGCCCCGTAAGTAGAGCGCATGTGTGTGGCACGGGAAATGGCCCACTTGTCATGTAGTTACAACCCGGGAAGCCTCAGGTATCTGGGGAAGTGAGGAGCCCACCAAGTTCTGCACTAGATTTGGCCAAGTGGACCGAGCCTTCCGTAACCACCCTTCTCAGGTACACACCGTTCTGAAGCACACCGCTTCCGTTACTGGGGGCTGGGCCATCTGCACAAACCTGTTTCAGCCCATGTTCCCTGCCGTCAAAACTCGCTGGGGACATCGTTTCACATTCCTTTCATCTCACATTATTTTCCCACACTCAGTGCAGGAGCAGGTCCACTGGGAATCCTAAGTGTGATTACTCCAAGCCTGCCCCTAACCAGGGAAGGTTATGCCCTAATTATAGGGCCCCTCACAAGATTCACTCTGCTTATAGGGCTGTTTTTGCACAGTCCAACGCCAAGTTGTGTGGGAGGCAGTGTTCACACCTATCCCACAGCTGGGCTAAAGCTTGTGTGGACCCACTTTTCTTTACAGACAGGTTGCTGGCCAGTATGTAACATATAGGGATCCCTGAATTGACCAGTTAGGTCGGCAGCTTGCCATCTCTGCCAAGCCAGAAAGCTGAGGTTGAAATAAGAATTGTCCAACATTCTACTCTGTATTGCTTTTATGGGTTTCTGTGCTGTTCGAATTTCCTTTCATCTCTATGTTAAAGCCCGGAACACTTCACTGCTTTCGTTGTACAGTGACAGTTTTTGTGAGGATGAACCTTAATTCTTGAATTACACACAGGTCCTTTCATCCTGCCATCTATTCCACTGCCTAACACACACCTCCGCAATCATCTCCCCTTCCGTTTCTTGTTATGGAACTTTTCAGGCACGTGAACTGTAGCAACAGCAGCATAAGGCACCCCGCACTAATCCGTCACCTAGCTTCAACGACGACAGACTTCGGATCATTTTGTTTATTCCCATTTGCTCTCTAAACCATTCCCTTCACCAGATTATTAAGAAAATCCTAGTCGTTTTGTTTTTTAATTATTTTATTTTTTATTAGTATGTTTCCAGTACTTAATGATCACATTCATCTTATTATCCTGCTTACAAGAATCAGGACTTTTCTAAATAAAGCCACTTGGTCACACTTAGGCATTTTCATCACAGAATAAACACGACTGAAAGTAGTGGTAACGTTCACCTCAGAAGAACAGGACACATCCCGAGCCCTCCCAACAAGAGGACAGTGCTTCCTATACAGGGGAGACAGGCTGAGGGCAGCCACCACTCAATGCAGTGCAAAGACAGACTCTCACCTAGTTTTTGTTTCAGTGCTGAGCATCATACCCCAAGCCTCACCCCACTGGGCAAGGTCTCTACCGCTCGGCAGCATCCCCAGCCCCTCATCCAGTTGCTTTAATGCTTACAGCTCTCATGCAATCAGGTATTCACATACAACTCCATCTACAAAAGAGAGAAAGCAGAGAATATTCCCAAGCAGGACAGTCTTCAGCCAGCTAATATACACACTAGGATTTGTATGGAATCCTAAGGACTGATGTCTCATGTAGAGTTAATACACAAATATGTGAGGAACTACACCTCTGAGAACATGAAAGGCAACTAGTTTTGAGGAGTCTTGGGGGCTGGGGATTTAGCTCAGTGGCAAAGCGCCTGCCTGGCAAGCGCGAGGTCGTGAGTTCAGTTCCCGGTACCGGAGGAGTCTTGATGGACAAGCCCAAGAAGCAGGACCATGGGCTACCAGCCGGCCTCCATCCACACAGCCCATATACTTGTCTTCCTGTACAGTGGCTTTAAAATCCAACAAATGCCTTCTTCACTCTGCCTTCAAATTTTCATTCAAGGTAGACTATGAGGGGATTCAAACCATAATGAGAATGGAAAATCTAATTCTCAACATTACCAACAAAGACAGCACAACCCAATGCCAACTCTAAATTTTATTATCCTACCACAGGTCTCTGCTTTTCAGTCAAAGTGAACTATTCGAGAAATAGCTGGGAAGAATGGCAAAAAGTAAAGGGAGAAAGATGAAAGTAATTATTCACATAAGCCCACACTATATATAGTCATCCCTCGCTATACTGCAGTTCACTTATTGTGGTTTCACTGTATTATGGGTTTTTTAAAAAAGTATCTAATTCTGTATGTCAGAGTTTTTGCTATATCACAGAATTTTGCAGTATATAGGTATTTATATAATATTTATGATTTTAATTATTTGTGCCTAAAAAATTTAAAACTATAAAAATGTTAATTCAAACATATTAAAATACTGTATCAAAGTAAAATACAGTATGTACTATGGGTTGGAGAGGTTGGCCTAACACTCAACTGTCTTGCAACCATGGTCAGAATGGCCAAAGAACTTCAGCCAGTGGCTGAACAGTGGGATCCCAAGATGCTTTTTTCGTTGCATTTCATAAATACAATCTGAGACTGGCATGTCAGTTTATAAAAACCTTCTCAGAAGAAAAAGCAGCACCAGCAACTCCCCATAACTATGTTCATCACTCAGAAGAAGAGAGCAGTTACAGCCCAGGGCGAAGATACTGCACCACCTGAAGTACCTGATGAAGTGGTGCCTTCAGAAGAGCTGTAATACCATTCTTAGCTGTGCAGTACATTCATCTCATTGTCATCACCTTCATCGCCATCAGTACTGCATATGTACATAATTCATGATCTTCATCATTCAAGTTGTAGTATACTTCACTGGTGAGTACCCATAAAGAATTTTACATGCTACTAAAATTACACAGGTTTTAAGTAAGAGCGCAAAAAATGTTTAAGAGCACATGAAGTATTTGTAAGTGTGGGAAAGGTTTATAGTAGTGTAGGGTTTACAAAGCCTTAAAATATATATAAATAATAAAATAAATACAATGTCACTACTTTGTGGATTTTCACCTATCACAGGGGTCTCTGGAAAGTAACTCCTGCAATAGGTGAGGGATCACTGTAGTAAAATTTACGTACTTAAAACCCAATGGCAACCAGACATGATGATTACATACCTGTAATCCCAGCTTTTGGGAGGCTGAGGCAGGAAGATGAGTTTGAGGCCAGCCAGGACTAGAGTTCAAGACTAGCCTGAACTATAGAGAGATCCTATCTCAAAAAAAAAATGAACAAAAAAATCTGATGTCAATTCTTTATTAGCCAAGAAGATATAAACTTGTGTGCCCTTTAAAAAGTTTTCTCCATAAGAAAATGGTAGAACATATAGAATGGGCAAGGTATATTTCAGAACAGTAAGAAATATACTATTTCTGAAATAAATATATTTCAGTCAATAAGAAAGTCCTAACTATTAACAGATTAGTTTTCAATGACCTATTACCCACAGAATCCAACAACTATATAAAAATTAAACCTCTTTCTATACTAAAAATGCATTTCAATTCATCCACAGATTCCACACACAAACAAAATTTTTATTAAGTGAGCCAGGCAACATAGCACATATCTATAACCATAGCTATTGGGGAGGCTAAGGTAGGGGCAAGTTAGATGCCAGCCTAGGTAACTTAGAACCTGACTCAAAAACTTAAAAAGTGCTAGAAATGTGGTTCAGCACTCCCTAATTCAATCCACAGTACCATGAAAAAACAAAATAGTATTTATTGACTTAAGAAACACTACTTATTAAACTCACAGTTGCTTTACAAATACTTACAAAATTATCTTACCTCAGTGATTCTTTAAAGAAGTGTATCCACAGGCCCAACATCCACATTAACAATGAACCATTTATAAAACAAAATAAATTTATATCTTTTACAGTATTTCTTTCACAATGTGTGCTTTCCAGAGCATTATGTATTTAATCTGCATTAGCTTTTTCATATTACCTCAATTTGTATATTTGACTAAACTGGAAATTATTATAGTCTTTATTACTAAAATTGAAAACTTCATTTTTCACACTTTTAACTTTTTAATCCAGTGTGCACTCCCACCTGCCCTCCTTTCTTTTTCTGGTGGGAGTGCTAGATCAGATTTTCTGACAGTAGTGCGGAGATCAAACTGTGATTGTGATGTAAGCCCTATACCAAAGAGCTACACCACTAATCCCCAGTGAACATTCTCACCCATTTCTGTAAGGATATGAGCCAACTGACGGCTTATGTATGCTGCTTATATTCCTGTTTATATTCTCTCCATTGTTCTTTCACAACCTCAAACTGAAGTAGAACACAAAAGCCATTGTCACTGTCTGCACTTGTAAGGTTTCCCACCAATATGCACTCTCAAAAGAGCTAGACAGCTGCACAAAGCAAGCCTTCCTATATTCCTTGTATGGGGTGCCGCTCCAACGTGAGCTCTTCTATGCTTTTCAAAGAAACTGTAGCAAATTAAGGCTTACCCACCCTTATATTTGTGCAGTTTTTCCTTCAGAATGAGATCTTTGGTGTGTTCGAAAGTTACTGGACCGACTGAAAGCTTTCCCACACTTTGTACACACATAAGGTTTTTCTCCAGTGTGAGATCTTCCATGTTTCTGAAGGGTACTGGGACAACTAAAGGCTTTTCCACATTCTTGACATACATAGGGCTTCTCCCCAGTGTGTGTTCTTTTATGTATTTGAAAGGAACTAGAACTACTGAAGACTTTACCACATTCTTGACATTCATATGGTTTCTCTCCAGTGTGATTTCTTTCATGTATCTGAAGGGAACTGTAACGTCCGAAGGCTTTACCACATTGTGTACACTCATAGGGTTTCTCTCCAGTGTGAATTTTCTCGTGTCTTTTAAATGAACTTCGACAACTGAAGGCTTTCCCACATTCTTTACATTCATAGGGTTTCTCTCCAGTGTGAGTTCTTTCATGAATCTGAAAGCAACTAGCACTACGAAATGCTTTACCACACAGTTTACACTGATAGGGCTTCTCCCCAACATAGGGCTTCTCTCCAGTGTGAGACTTCTCGTGCATCTGAAGGTAGCAGGATCGACTAAAGGCCTTACCACACTGTTTACACTCATATGGCTTCTCCCCAGAGTGAGTCTTTTCATGTCTTTGAAAGGAACTGGGACAACTGAAGGTTTTCCCACACTCCTTACATTCATAGGGTTTCTCTCCAGTGTGAGTCCTTTCATGTATTTGAAAGGAACTGGCACTACTTAAGGTTTTCCCACACTGTTTACATTCAAAGGGCTTCTCTCCAGTGTGTAGTCGTTCATGTATTTGAAAAGCACTAGAACTAATGAATGCTTTTCCACATTCCTTACATTTGTGAGGTCCATCTCCAGTGTGTGTTATCATGTGCCTTTGAAAAGATGAAAGAGAAATGAAAGCTTTCCCACATTCATCACATTCATAGTATGTATTTTTCCTAGTATGCATTCTTTCATGTATTCGAAAAGAACTGAAACGACCAAAAGCCTTACCACATTTTTTACACTCATAGGGTTTTTCTCCAGTGTGAGTTCTTTTATGTCTTTGGAAAGTACTGGGACAATTGAAAGCTTTCCCACATTCCTTACATTCATGAGGCTTCTCTCCGGTATGAGTTCTTTTATGTATCTGAAAGGCTTTGGAAGTACTTAGACTTTTACCACACTGTTTACATTGATAGAGTTTCTTTCCAGTGTGAGTTCTTTCATGTATCTGAAAAGAACTGGGAGAATAAAAGGTTTTGCCACATGTCTTACATTTATAAGGTCTATCTCCACTGTGCCTTTCCATGTGTCTTTGAAAGTTTGATAGAGAAAGATAGAATTTTCCACATTCCTTACACTGATAGGATTTCTCTTCAATGCAAGTTCTTTCAGATTCTTCTAAGGAACAGCAAAAACTGAAGGCGTTTCCACATTGCTTATCTTCATCTGTCTTCTTTCCATCCTTACGTTCACATAGTTTGTGTTCAGCGTGTACTCTCATATGCCTATTAAGGGATGAATGACCAATGAAGACTTCTCCACACACACTGCAGTCATAGGATTTTACAGCAGGAGTTTTCTTGCTAAGTCTGAGATGTGCGATCTGAGTGTAAGTTTCTCTACATTGACCACCTTCTACCCTTTCCCAGAGTCTCTCTACCACATGATTTCTGTAAGAAAAGAGAAACATTAAAATTAAAGGCTTTAGTACTGTTTTTATTTTTTTGTTTGGGTTTTTTTTTGTTTTGGGTTTTTTTTGTTTTGTTTTGTTTATTTTCAAACAGTCTATGTTGGCCAGGCTTACCTCTAATTCACAATCCTCCTGACTCAGCCTTCCAAGTAGCTGAGATTACAAGATACATACCACATCTGGCCATGACTGCTTTTCTTCCTTCCTTCCTTCCTTCCTCTCTCTTTTCTGTAGCACTAGGGATTGAACTCAGGGTTCTGACATTGGGCTCCACCCTTTTTTTAAGACAAGGTCTTGCTATGTTGTAAGATGCCCAGGCTGGGTTTAAACTTGCAGTTCCCCAGTGTCTAACTCCCAAAGTCCTAAGATTACAGGCATGTACCACCACACCCAGCTGTGTTTGTTTTTAATTTATATTTATTAACAAGAACTACACTTGTATTTTTAACATTACCAGAGAAAGCAAGCGTAGTATATCCCCTCGGAATTGCCTGCGCATACCCTAAGTCCTCTGCAAGAGGTCTAGATCACAGCAATTAACAAAATGTATGTGAATTTCCTTAATACTGTTTATAAGTGAACTAGTATCTATATAACATTTAAGTATACAATTCTAGACAAAAATTTTGAGGGATAAAGAAATGTGAAGTTGGATTTATGATTCTGTTACTGTGTTTTTAATTCTAAGAAAATTGATTTCCCTTATGAATGCAAAGTACCTCAGGTTTTCGCCAGGATTTTGGTACAGTTCTTCAGTGTTCTGGTCTTTCCATTTTATTCCTAAAATATACACCCAGAAAAAGCATTATGAATTATTACATTTAAACATGTATTAGACACTAGCTTCATGACTAAGGCCCTGCTGATGTATTTACCAAAGCGTTCCCCTTTCATATTCTAAACTGAGCACCAGTAATAGCCAAGAAACAGCCATTCTTTAAATGACTAAGTTTTTTTATGTTTTTAGTTTTCTGTTGTTTTTGGTACCAGGAATCAAACTCACGACCTTACACTTGCTAGGCAGGCACTATGCTGCTGGGCTATATCCTCAGCCCTAAATGACTAAGTGAAGGAATGATGTCATCCTTACCTACAAAGGCCAGATTACTGACAGTTTCCTGCATCACATCTCTGTACAGATTCTTCTGGGAAGGATTCAGCAAAGCCCACTCCTCCTGGGTGAAGTTCACAGCCACGTCCTCAAAGGTCACCAAATCCTAAAACATCCCACATACGTATGAGTGAGAATGGTTAAGCCTGACATCCCTGGGGACCAACATACTCAATTTATAAGTACATATGACTGGTCTCCAAACAATTATTTCATGACTTGATCATCAGACACAGTCTCCTCCCCAGACCCACACAAAAAAATTAAGGAATGGAACCAAATGTTGTGGTACAAACTACTCAAGGGGTGGAGGCGGAGGTATTGCTCAAACCCGGGACTTTCAGGCCAGCATGAGCAACAAAGCAAAACCCAGTACCCAGGGAGAAAAAAGGAATAGGAGCTAGAGGTTTAGCTCTACTATACAGCATGTGCTTAGCATACATGAGGCCCTGGGTTTGATTCTTCAGCATGCCCATGCATACACACACATACTAAGAAATGAATTGTTTGGAAAATAGCAAAGGACATAATTTGTCTACTTTGTGGCAATCTGAGTTTCAATTTCCAGATCCGGAGCACCTGATGCATGAGAAACTCTCCAGTAAAGAGCTGGTCAAAATGCATGAAGACTTCAGGCAGAATGACAGCCTAGCAAGGCTCAAGCAGCTGTGATCTGTCTTGGGACAGCAAGGAAAGCAGCCTGGCCTAAGACTGATTTACTGACTGACTGACTGACTAACTGTGGGACTAAGAATTATAACCAGGGGTACTCTACCATAAGCCATATTCTCAGCCTTTTTTATGGTTTATTCTGAGACAGAGTAAGTTACCCAAGCTGGCCTGGAATTCAACCCTCCTGCTTCTGCCTCTAGAGTAGCTGCAATTATGGGTGTACACCACCACCACACTGGCTTGACCTGGGATTTTCACTGAGGTTAAGGACTGAGCTAGTACCAGAGGGCAAACTTATAAGGACTGAATCACTTGTCACTGAAAAAGGAGAGTATTCCTGCTTCCTATTTCCTTATCAAGATTTAGGCACAGAGGAATGAAGAAGAGATAAGGCTTAAAAGTTGTCAGCAGATGCCAGGTATGGTAGCACATGCCTATAATCTCAATACTCAGGAGGCTGAGGCAGAAGGAGTGGCACAAGTTCAAGGCCAATATGGCCTATATAGTGAGCTCAAAGCCAACCTGAACTACATAGTGAGACCCTGTCTCAAAAAATAAAAAAAGAAGTTGTCGGCAGGGGTGGGAATGCTGCTCAATGGTAGAGCACTTCCTCAGCATGCAGAGACCCTGGGTTCCATCCCCAGCAGTGCAAACAAAAAATTTTTTTTAATGTGAACAAACATCAAAAAGAAGTCAAGGGCTGGGCATATAACTCAGCAGCACAAGTGCCTGCCTGGCAAATGCAAGGTCCTCAGTTCAATTCCCAGTGCCAAAAAGAAAAAAGGAAAAAAAAAAGTCAGAGACTTCCAGTTTCCACTATGGCACAGAAAGACGGAGAAGGTAACACACATTCAGAGAAGAAAAAAGCAAATGAACCAACAATCAACAACTTTTCCTACATCTGTTAGAGAAATGAGTTCAGAGGGCAAGCAGCAGTGCCTAAATGGACACCCACAGACAAAGACCCAGGAAATAATCTACTGGAACAGAAACCTCTATGAAAAGCAGCACAAGGGTGGAAAAAACTAAACTGTAACTAGTGAACTGCTAACAGTTTTGAGACGCTTCAGAGGTAAAAATTACTAGGTGGGCTCCCCTAATTTGTTTTACCTCCAGCACCCTTGACAACTGCTCACAGTGAAGATCAAAGTCACTGCCTTCTTCAGCAAGAAGAGGGAAATATAGCCATCTTGAAATATGCCCAGAGATCTGTGTTCAAATCCTTCCCTCAAAAGAAACTACAATGCCGGGAGTGCAGCTCAGTGGCAGGGGGGAACCAGAAAATCAAACAAAAAGAAAGAAATTACCTGTGGGGAATTGGTTCCAGGATCCACACAGATACTAAAAAAATGTAGAGATACCTAAGCCCCTTATGTAAAAGGGCATGGTTTTTGCAGGTAACCTGTGTAAACCCTCCTGGAGACTTTCAGAAGTGTCCAACCCAGATCTACATGCTGACTGCCCTCTTTTTTTGTTATAATAACAAGATTTAAATAAAAGAAGTCTTGTACTTGTATACATTAACTCTATTAAAGGCCATTCCTTTTCACTGAATATGGCCCAGGCAAGCCAAAAGGTTGGACACTGATGAACCATCTCTAGATTACTTACAAGATGTAACACAATATAAAGACTAAGTAAATAATTGCTCTGTTGTATTGTTCAGGAGAAAATGACCAAAAAGTCATCTGCACATACTCAGTACAATGAGGACTATTTCCCCAGATACTGAGGGTTGTCTAAAAAGACTTGATTAGGACAAACCTTCTGGGGAAAGAGAAACAACAAAGTCTAACCCCCTCCAGCTTTCCTGCAGTAACTAAGAAAGGAGGACTGAGACGTCCTTATGAAAGTCACAACCCAAGGACACCGGCTTTCTATAACTGAGGCCAAGTCACAGATCAAGCAATGCTTTGCCTCCCTCACCACTCAGCACCACACCACCAGGGTTCAGGTGTAACTGTAGACCACCACTAAAAGAACGCAGTTCACGGTCTCTGGTGAAACAACAAAAGCGATTACACTGATGAAGTAGACACATTTCTACAAACACAAAAAAATCTGAGCCGTCTATAACTAATACATGTCATGAAGTACAAGTCAAAAACCCTCTCACGGGTTACAACACTTGCCCCATCCAAAATCAACGTAGAAATGTCATCCCCAATGCAGTAATATGAAAAGGTGTAAAATCTTCAGGAATCAACTAAGTCATGAGAACTCTGCTCTGATGGACTGGATTACTCCCTCATGAAACAGCTTTAGAAAACCATGAAGGCCCTTTGACCTTTCACCATGTAAAGATGCAGTAACATGGCACCAGACCAGGTTTTCACCAGATACCTTACCTACAAGCTTCTGATCAACAATTTCCCAGTCTCCAGAACTGTGAGAAACAAATTTCTGTCATTCATAAATTACCTAGTCTTAGGTATTTTATTATAGCAACATAAACAAACTAAAATACAACAGCAACAAAAAAACCTTCCAAAACCAAATAGTTTCACTGCTAAATTTTTTATGACTTTAAGAAAAATGAATACCAATCTTCTATAAGCTCTTTCAAATACTGAAGAGTAGGAAACACTTCTATATTTCTTCCTCCTAGTGCTGGAGATGGAACACACTGCCTCATTTGTGCTAGGCAAACCTCCACCACTGAGCTGCATCTCTAGTCCCTAAACTCATTCTCAGGCCAAAATTACTCTGAAAACAAACACTCTACAAGAAATACAGACAGGCATGGTGGCACATACCTGTAATCCCAGCACTTGGAAGGCTGAAGCAGGAGGATCCCTGCAAGTTTCAGGCTAGCCTAGACTATAAAGTAAACTCAAGGCCAGCCTGAACTGCACAGTGAAACCCTGTCTCAAAAAGAAAAAGGAAAAAGGAAAAAAAAAAAAAAACAGACAAATATACCTTATGAATACTGATGCAAGTATCCTCAACCACTGATTCAAAGATAAAATAACTGAAATTGTACTGGCCAGGCACAGCGGCACACGTCCCAGGCCAGCTTGGCTAACTTAGTTAGAGCCTGTCTCAAAATAAAAATAAAAAGAACCCCTGAATTCAATCCCAATACTGCTGCTGCTGCTGCTGCTGATGATGATGTTGGGGCTATCGCTCAGTACTCCATAAGCTCACTCTCCAGGTACTGCCGAACAAAAAAAAAGAAAAAAGAAAAAGCAAACACCACAAATCAATACACTATATACCAGTACAAACACAGCCCAGGCACCATCTCCTGGTTTTGAGTGAAACGTCATTTGAAAAGCCCTTTATCTAGCTCACAATGTAGTATAAAGACACCAAGACAACCGGTCCCAGCATGCCGTAGGTGAGGGGTGGGGCTAAACCAGGGGACTTCTCAGGGGACCAGTTGAAGGAGACCTTAAGAGGAGGCTAAGCGGTGGCCCCTACGTAGAAAGGGCAAATAAAGGGCCCCTATGCAGAAATCTAATCGTCCATTTAACACTGCCTGAACCAGATGATGCCTGGACAAATGGAGTATGATATACAGCCCAGAACAATACCCTCACAAATAAGGTAAGCTGATTTTTGACATAAGGGCTAACATCATTCAATAGGAAATGGACAGTCTTTTCAAAAACTGGCGCTGAGGAGCTGGGCATGGTGGCACATGCCTTAATCCCAGCACTCGGGAGGCTGAGGCAGGAGGATCACTGCAAGTTCAAGGCCAGCCTGAACTGCACAGTGAAACCCTGTCTCAAAAAGAAAAAAAAAAAAATTAATTAAACTTAAAATTTAAAAAAAAAAAAAATGGTGTTAAGAAAACTGGATACCCACATGTACAATAATGAAACTGCAATTACTATAGTTGGTCCAACTTTCATTTGATTAGTATTAGATTTCTACCTTTACTTACTCCATCTGCTTTTATTCAATTTTTTAAAATATCTATTTTTTCATGCTGGGGATGGAACTCAGGGCCTCATACCTGCTAAGCACACATACTACCACTCAGATAGGTACACCCCATCCATCTATTTTTAAATTGACAAAAACTGAACATGTGTTCAATATTATGTTTAAAAATATGTATAATTATGGAGTAGGTAAACTGAGCTAATTAACATATGCATTACATCACCTGGAAATAATATTGAGCTAAGTGTGATAGCACATGTCTATAATCCCAGCACTAAAAAAGCCTGAGGCAGGAGAATCTCAAATTCAAGCCCAGCTTGGATAACTTAATGACTTAGTGAGACTGTGTCTCAAACTTAAAAGGGATAGGGTTACTGCTCAATACAAACGTCCTGAATTTAAAGCCAGTACCACAAAGACAAAAAAAAATAAAATTTTATACCATACACAAAAGTAAAATCAAAATGGATCGAACACCCAAAGTAAGAGCTAACACTGAACAACTTAGAAGAAAACATGGGGCAAGTTTCCTGACACTGGGCAGGTGTCCCGCTGACACATGCCTATAACTCTAGCACTCTGGGAAGCTGAGATAGGATCGCAAGTTTGAGCCCAGCATGGGCAACTTATTGACTCAGCAAAACCTTGTCTCAAAACAAAACATTTGGCTGGGTGTGGTGGCACAGGCCTGTAATCCCAGCAGTCAAGAGGTTGAAGCAGGACGGTCACCAAGGGTTAGAGGACAGCCTGGGCTACGTGGTGAATTCAAAACCAGCCTGAACTAGAGAGACCCTGTCTCAAAAAAAAAAAAAAACTGAAGTCATATCAACAGATACAAAAAATATGTATCAGAAGTAAAGGAAATAGAAGCCAGAGAATGACAATAAAATAAAACTTTCCTTCCCAAGAAATGGACCCCTTCCCTCCCTCTCCCTTTCCATCTCTCTCTCGTCTTTTACACACACACACACACACACACACACACACACCCCTACACTGCTCCCTTTCTCACTATGAATCTGCTATAGACAGATTCCAGAAAGCAATTAAAAACAAAAAAAGGAAAGGAAAAGGGAAGAAATTGTCTTTCTTGTACAATGTCATGGGTTCCATCCCCAGCACTGCAAAAGAAAAAGGGAAAAAGTCCCTTTCTTCATAGGTCATGATCATCTAGGTAGAAAATTCCAAAGAACCAGTATTAAAATTACTAGACCTAGTAAAGAGATTGTAGTGGATTTATAAAACAGCACATTAAGAACAAAAGCAATGGACAACTGGATTTGGTAGTAAAACCCCAGCACCAGAAATAGAGGAATTAAAATCCCAGTGCGAGCCGGGCATGGTGACACACATCTGTAATCCCAGCACTTGGGAGGATGAAGCAGAATGGTTGTGAGTTCGAGACCAGCCTGGGCTACAAATTGAGCTCAAGGTCAGCCTGAACTGCATAGGGAGACTCTGTCTCAAAAAAGACAAAAAAAAAAAAAAAAAAGGAAGTGGGATGTGTTATGCAGAGGTACTAACCTACACCAGGAATGCTAAGATTATGTACTGTAAACAAGAAAGGTGGTGCTGAGAAGGGAATAAGAAAAGAAATTAAGGGGCTGGGGATTTAGCACAGCGGCACAGCACCTGCCTGGCCAGCAGCACAGCACCTGCCTGGCAAGCGCGAGGTCATAAGTTAGAGTCTCAGTGGGGGGGGCGGGGGAAGGAATGAAGATATGGTACCCACATGTAGCAATTTCCCACAAGGAATGTAAACATTATGTACTACATACATGTACTAATAAAATTTTTAAACTTTTTAAACAATTTAAAGTCAAGCATCACTTATATAGGAAAAAAAAAAAAAAAAAAACACAAAGGAAAGGAACAAAAAACCCACCGTCTTAGTAGGGGCAGTCTATCAAAACACAACATACCGAGTAATTTACAAACAATGGAAATATATTGCTCACAGTTCTAGAATTAAGAAGTCCAAAATTAAGGCACCACTACATATGGCATCTGCTATTAAGTACTGTAATCTATGAGATCTGTTTCAGAGACAGCAATTTCTTTCACCCATCCCTTGACCCTTTTTTTTTTTTTTGGTACATGTTTGTAGTACATGTACATGTAATTTACATTCCCTGTGTGGAACTGGTGCATGTGAGCACACAGCTAGAAGGTGCTATCTCTGAAACAAGCCCCCTCTGGCCTCTTTTAGGACAGTAATCCTATGCATGCAGGATCTGCTCTCATGATCTAATCACATCATTACACCTAAATTCCATCCCCATGGCTGCCAGGAAAAGTAGAATAAATTGTAAACTTTAAAATCAAAATTTATACAGAAAGACAAAAGATCAGAAATGGCCAAGACAATATCCTTGAGATAAAGGTACAACATTGACAGGACCTGACTGTAAGACTCATGTGACACTACAGTAATGGAGATAGTGCTATTTGCAAACAAACAGGCAAACAGGTCAATAGAAAATAAAATAAAATAAAATCACACAGATATGGCCAGCTGATCTTTGATGAAAGAGCAAAGGCAATTCAATGGAAAAGGTAGTCATTTCAACAATTGAGGCTAAAAAGCCCAGATATCCATATAGTAATGAATTAGACGCAGATCTTACAACTTTCACAAAATTAACTCAAAAACAGATCATAATATAAGATGGAAAATTCAGCACTGAACGTAACACAGGAGATAATTTAAATGCACTTTGATTTGGCAATGAGGTTTGAGAAGTAACACCAAAAGTATGATCCATAAATCAGGAAATTTGTAAATTCAACTTAAGAAAAATTCTGTTTTGCCAAAGACACTATTAAACACAGGCGGTAGGCCAGGACAAAAATTTGGCAGAAAAAGCGGGTTATGGTGGTGCACGCCTGGAATCCCAGCACTCTCGAGGCTGAGGCAGGAGGATCCTTCCAAGTTCAAGACCAGCCTGGGCTACAAAGTGAGCTTAAGGCCAGCCTGAACTACATAGTCAGACCATCTCAAAAAGACAAAAAAAAATTTAAAAATAAAAAATTTGGCAAAAAGCTTCTCTGATAAAACTGAGGTTTTATTTTTTGTCTTGAAGTAGGTGAGGATTGAACCCAGGACCTTCACACTGAGCTATATCCCCAGCCCTTTTTTATTTTTTGAGTCTCACTAATTTGCCCAGGATGGGTTCAAACTTACAATCCTCCTGCCTCAGCCTCCCAGAATCCTGGGATGATGGATCTATACCACCATGTCCGGTTTCATTCAGTTATTTTTAAAACAGAAAATATTCAGTATTTGAAGAATCCGGCAAAATTACCCAAACTCAGTATTTCTGTATACACATGGACAGCATTTATATTTAATAGCAAACCCTAAAAGAATAAGTATCTATGTCTCTCGGACAATAAAGATGTCATTTCATTTATTCATGACAAATCACTGAGTAAACAGCTTATCATATCTGAACACTTTAGTTTGTTGCCCATCTCTGACCCATACGATTTATGATGAACCCATAAGTCCAGAAAAAATGGAACTGAATTATTCATTATCAAAAATTCTCCACCAAGCAAAGAAAAAGAACCAATGATTGGTAAGTCTTTGTAATTCACTTATCTTTTGGGGAAATGTATTTATTTTTCTACAGTTATCATGGAAAAGAGATATTCCTTTTCCCTGTAGCATCCTCCAAGCTACGCCCTAGAATTACATTTAAAAGATGTAAATAAGCCAGGGGTGGTGGTGCAGGTCTGTAGTCCCAGCACTGGGAAGGCTGAGGTAGGATCACCTCAAATTCAAGGCCTAACTAGGCTACATAGTGAGTTCAAGGCCAGCCTGAATTACATGGGGAGAGCCTGCCTCAAAAAAAAATAAAATTCACACAAATGAAAATAACAGACCTGAGAAACTTCTTACACATGCTCTGGGGAAGGAAAAAAAGAAAGAATTTTCATGAGGTGTGTTGGCACACACCTGTAATCCCAACACTCTGAAAGGCTGAGGCAGGAGGATCACATGTTCCAGCCCAGCCTGGGCAAGTTAGTGATTTGGCAAGATTCTCTCTCAAAATAAAACATCATCAGGGCTGAAGCATGTAGCTCAATGCAAAGCCCCTGGGTTTAATCCCCAGTGCTGTTAAACAAATAAATAAAAATTTTTAAAAATCAAGTGAAATGTAAAACTAACTTTTTCTATAATCTGCTTTGTCCCTCCTTCGTCTTTTTGGAAACATTTTATTGTACATTTTGAGCTGTACTGATAAAATATACTGATATTGTACTGATAAAATATATTTTACAGTTAAAAGAAAATCTGAAGCTGAAGTGGGGAAAAAGACCTTTCAAGGTGACACACCCAGGGAGAAGCAGTGCTGAACTGGATTTCACAAGTATCTGAAACTAGCGTCAAGGCAGGTCATTCTACCAACATTGGGGAATTGTTCTCTCCTTTACTCTCATGAAAAATCCACAAATAAGGCTGGGTGTATAGCACAGGTAGAGAGTGCCTGTCCAGCATTTGAGAGGTCCTAGGTTTGATCCTCAGGGCTAGAGGAAAAACAAACAAAAACACACTACATATATTTTTGTTGGTTGGGTTTTTGCTTGCTTTTTTGAGACAGATTTTTGTAACCCAGGCCCACCTTCAACTCACTGAGGCCCAGATCCCTGGCCTCAGCCTCTCAAGTGCTGGGATTACAAGCCCGCGCTATTACACCTGGGATTTTTTTAAGGCCAACCATTTCTCTCTCGGAAAAAAAATGACAAAATACGGCAAGCAAGGCTGGAGGTGTAGGTCAGGGTCACAGCGCTCGCCTAGCATGCACAAGACTGTACACCCACCCCCAGTACCGCAAAAACAAAAATAAGAAAGTAAATAAATAAAAGTACACCGCGTGCGTGGGACGCAGAGTAATGGTCGTACGGCTGATAATGTATAAAATGGAGAATTTGGGATTTGGGAATACGGGGAGGGATCCCGAA